AATAGACACATTGAGCAATACACAAACGTGGAACACATCTAGTTTATACACTATGTTTATACTCCAATAATTAATGATATACCTCCACACAAAGGTACGAATAAAAAGCCCTATGGACACAACAAAGAAATTAAACACTACAAAAATATACACAACTACACATGTGTTTGTACTTTGTAATGCATATGCATGTATCTTTTATATATACCGGTTAGTGAACTAATACGAATTTAGAATCCTGTTATTAATAAAATGGTAATTGATATAAATGATATTTTTATTTGTTTCAAAGCAACATTTTTTTCTTTCTTTTTTCCTCTATTTACCATATGTTTTTGATATCGATCGGTAAAGAAGAATGAAAAACTTTATGTTTTTCTTTTGTCCAGAATATTTCCTTTTTATAAAATGAGCATTTTTGAGATTTTAATTTGGAAAACATTTAAAAGTAAAAATATTTGATAATTGGCACAATCTAAATTAAGGTAAACACGTATTGTAATCTGGTAAGTTATAATTTACTTAAGTATACATTTATTTTAAACACACCCGCTTTATATATTAAAATATTTTATTTTCTTAATGTATTCCAAAATCTTTATAATTTTCTTACACAATAAATTTTTTTTACTAAACCTTTTTTTCCTCTCTCATAAATTTCTCTTCTTACCTTTCTTTCATTTGTCTTTTGGAATAAAAATTTATTATTTCCTCACATGTTTAGTTTTGTAGTTGATTGTAGGAGTCAAAATTAGCACAATTGAATTTGTCAAAGATTTATAAGAGAACCGAAATTTCTAAGTATGAAACCACAAGCACAAAAATCATAAGGTAGTTTTTATTGCTGTTTCGAAAGCTCTCAATATCACAAGTATTTTACTAAGTAAAATTGCGGATTCCTTTTTCAAGAGATTTACATGAGTATATATACTAGTTTAAGTTGGCTAAAATAAACCCTAAGACAAATAGAAAAACTTCATAATTCTTCAGGAGTTTCTTTTCTTCTCGGATTCTTCTAAGTCGATTGAAACATCACATGCCTTTTTGCTTGGGCTCGGTTTATGAAGACTTCGTCGTGGACTTGGTGCTCCTAGACTTGTGGGCTTGGTAATTTGTTGAGTTCACCGCCTTATTTTGTCGATATATGGGCTTGTCAGCTCGACTCTTTTCTTCTTGGCTCCACGTCTCAAACTCGACTCCATGGGCTTTACGCCACGAGCTTAACCTATCTCTGGTATCAAACTCATGTTGCCAAGCTCGCCACCTAGCCACAAGTTTAAACTTTGGCCTCGGTTTAATTGCAAGCTCGAGCCCAAATAGCATTGTTATGGACTTGGGCTCGGCTCGCCTTGGCTACCACAATCTTGAGTTCGGGTCACCAAGTCCGTGCCTTGAGATCGTGTTTCTTATTTCGAGTTCGGGCCCATCTCCAGCTTTTCGTATCATAATGGGCTCAAGCTTGCCGAGCTTGCTGCTTTGTTCTGAGCTTCTTGCTTTGTTTTAAGCCCGGGCTCGCTACTTCGTTCCAAACTCAGCTCGCCGTCCCATTATGGGCTCGTCCCATCTACTATCGAGTTCGACCCAACTTTGACTCTTAGTCAATTTCGCCTACTGATTTCACAAGGGTGAAACCTGACCCCAACAATTAGCCCTCAACTCGGTAAAATAAGATGTGATGATGTCGAGGTGAAAATAGCCATGGCTGAGGTCAATGTTCTATAGGCTATTTACCGAGCTGACATGTTGTCGGGCTTGTTTATGATGATTTTGTCGAGCTCGTTTTGTAGCCTTAGCCGAGCTTGTTTCGCATAAAAAATTACTTATTTGGAGATGTTTTTGATCCCATGGGATATCGCCTTCCTGATCTCGAGTGATTGTGTTTACCCTAGCTACAGTGATTGTGTTTAACCGAGCTCGAATGACTGTGTTTAACGGAGCTTGCCCATGTTTTGCCGAGCCCATTTTGTTGATGTATTTTTCCGAGCTCATGTGATCATGTTACCGAGCTCATATGATCATGTTTATCAAGCTTATATGATCATGTATACCGAGCTCATATGATCGCATCTTACCGAGCTCGTTTATTCAACG